TACTGAGCCCAAAACCCAGGTATGTGCCCTGACTAGGAATCAAACTGGCAACCTTTCAGTGCACTGGATGACACCCAGCTGAGCCACACTGGCCAGGTCAACACTTCCACACTTAAAAAGTTTTTTTTTTTTTCCTATCTTCATTTTTTGCTTTATCTTGTTTTTCTCTCAGGCACCTTCTTTCCCAGTTTAACTTCTTGCCACATCTCTCTGTCACAAATCTTCCATTATTTCCCCTTTTTTGGGCCCTTGAGATTGGTAACAGCAGTGCTAGCAGTAGTGCTGAGTCCAGGCTCAGGATCCCAGCTGGGCTAGCATTGGTTGGGAGGAGAGATGAGAGTGGCTGTACAGCTTGACTAGTTTATTGTTTTTGAGTTGCACCAATGGGAGACGTCAAAGAAATAGAATATCTTTTAATCAGTTTAATGTGTCTCTGTAGAGGGCATCTTAATTTTACATGACATGGGAGAAGGCATATCTCTCCAATTCTTCCCCAATGGGCATGCCAGTAAAATAGGAATGCGTAAACATTTGAAAGCCAGGGATTGCTAGGACAGGACCTGCTGCAGTTATGGGGCCTTGTGGCCGTTACAGTGCAGCTTACGATGCTGTCGCAGATGAAAACTGATTTCTTGTGACTCTGATTTTATTAGTTTCCCAATGCTGTTGTAACAGATAACCAAAAACTCAGTGACTTAAATGACACAAACATTTATTTACTTTTAATTTTTTCCCATTTTTTTATTGATTATGGTATCACATAATTGTCCTCATCCCCCCAATCCCATCCCAAACCCCTCCCTACGTATACCCTCACCCCCCTCTCTACCCCCACCCCATTGTCCATGGCCACTGGCCAGGCCCATATGCATGCACACAAGTCCTTTGGTTGATCTCTTCCCCTTTATCCCCACCCTCCCCTACTTTCCCTCTGAGGTTTGAGAGTCTGTTCTGTGCTTCTCTTTCTCTGAGTCTGTTTTTGTTCATCAGTCTATGTTGTTCATCATTTTCTCTAGATGTGTGAGTTCAGACACAAACTTATTAATTATAGTTCTGATGGTCAGAAATCCTAAAATCAAAGGGTTGGTAAGGCTGCATTCCTCCTGGAGGCTCTACGAGAGAATTTGTTTCTTGAGGCTGCCCATATTCTTTGGCTTCCATCTTCAAAGCCAGTATTCACATCATTCTGACCTCTGCTTCTTCATCAAATCTCTCTGAGATCTTGAGACACTTGTAAGGACCCTGCGGTAACATTGGGCCCACCTACACAATTTAAGAAAATCTCCCCATCTCAAAATCCTTCACTTAATCCCACATGCAAATCCATTTTGTCAACCAAGGTAACACATTTATAGGTTTTGGGGATTAGAATGTGGGCATCTTTGGGGGTTCCATTATTCTTCCAAACGTATACTATTCTACAACCAATTGTTTGCCTTTACCACTATTGATATCAGTCTTAGGTAAACTGAAGTCAGCTGGACTGTACCATGTTCAGTGCTATTTTTACTTTTTTGAATCCTTCTCCATATATTTTTGAATGAATAACAACTTTGATCTGATGAATCTACAGAACAACATGGGTTCTAATCCCCTGAGCCTTCTTGATCCACGCATTCTCTGTACTTGATGCAGAGAACCTACTGGTTTTTGAAATCTCTGGGTATTGTGCCCACCAAACATACAAATCAGAGTTAATCCTCTGGATAAAGATCTTGAATCCACAGAATTCCAACTCTATCACTCCACTAAGCTCTCACAGTTCTGAGAGCTAGGAAGAGTTGTTAATGTACTTGCTCATGGCCAACTCCAATCAAGCATAATATAAAAACACCGCATTATCAAATTTAATGTGTGACTTTCAGTCAGCACAGAAAAAGTCCTTTTTATGGATATTTTTTAATTTTAAAATATATTTTTATTGATTTCAGAGAGGAAGAGAGAGATAGAAACATCTCTATAATTGGCTGCCTCCTGCACTCCCCCTACTGGGGATGGAGCCTGAAATTGGGCATGTGCCCTTGACTGGAATCAAGCCTAAGACCCTTCAGTGGCAGGCAGGCATTCTATCCACTGAGCCAAACTGGCTAGGGCTCTCTGGATATTTTTAAAGGGAATTGTCTTGCCCTCAAAGTTCTTCATTCTTTTTCTTTCCGCACTTTGATTAGAGAAAGTGGTATGGAGAGTGTGAGGGCAAAGATGAACAACAAAAAAGGAGGGATGACAGACATCAGGTGGTAACTGATATACAAAGATACACAATTCCACCCTAGGAACAATAAGACATTGAAAAATCTGGGAGATTTTTCGGGAGAAGCCTAGGGTTATTACTGGGTGTTTTGGCTTGGTACAGAGTGGTGGGAAGCAGAAGAGCAGAGTCTGGAGGTAAGATGCAGGCTGCATTGGCATTGCTTATGGGATGTCAAAATAGAAGAGCTAGACAGGCAAACTGGCTATGTGGATATTGGGCTCAGGAGAGATTTGGGCTTGCATTATGGCTGGTAAATGAGAGCACAACTGAAGATAATATAGCATACAGAGTTAAAAGAGACGATGGCATAAGATAGAGAGCTGAGGAGGACAGGCAGAAAAAAAACCTGCAGAGGAGGCTAAGGAATGGTTGGAGAGGTAATTGGTAAACCAGAAAGTGTTAACATATTAAAGAATTTGTACCCATTCCTTGGGTGCGATGTTTGAAAACATGTTTAACTCACAACTCAATGTGACTTGAAAATTGTTTTCTCATCTATAAAATGGTGCCAGTGATTCCTTACTTGCATCACAGGGTTATGAGGTCCAAGTGAAAAAATGTATTTGAAAATTGTTACACCAGTGGTACATCAATGTGCGTCAAAATCATTAAGAAGACGTTCAAAGACGCAGATTACTGTGTTTCCAATTTCATAATAGCAGTAGTTTTAGGTTCAGTAGATGTGGGGTGGGGTCTCAGAATCTGAATTTTCCATACTTTCTCAAATGATGCTGATAACGCTGGTCTTGGGACCACCCTTGAGAACTACAGTGTAAAACAAGTGTAAGGAATGATGCTTTTGTTTTTATAGCAAGATTCACTGAGTTGTCCTCCATTGTCCTCCAATGTTGTTTCTGTTTCATCTCCTAATCTTTTTTTATTCTTGCATCTTCCATCAACAGCTGCTATTGAAACATCTTTGCCCTACTCCATACCTACCGTGTTTCTCCAAAAATAAGACATCCTCCAAAAATAAGACCTACTTACAGGTTTCCTTCTGAGTGAAATATAAGCATCCCCCAAAAATAAGGCCCCCCTAGGCTAAACATGAGAGATTTGGTCCACTGATTCTGAAAGAAATGGAGTCTCAAGAAATTCACCAGGAAATTCAGGAATTGGATTGTTATGATGATGTTCCAGAAGATGATGACATGATTGTCATTGAATAAATGAGTAAATTCTTGATACTGTAGGATTCAAAGTTTGTCTGGTTTGTGTTGACAACTACTGTACTACCATACTGTATACAGGTAATAAATTTCCTTTATTTTCATTTAACAATAAATGTGTACCCTATTCTTCTTCATGGAAAAATAAGACATCCCCTGAAAATAAGACTTAGCACATCTTTGGGAGCAAAAATTCATATAAGACACTGTCTTATTTTCGGGGAAACAGGGTAGAACCCAGTAATATATGTTTATGTATAAGGTCAGCTTAGTGCAGTATTTTGTTGATTATTTACATAGCTTGACTAAGGATAGGAGAATTGTAAAAAAACATATTTTATTGATTTTTTACAGAGAGGAAGGGAGAGAGCTAGAAAGTTAGAAACATCAGTGAGAGAAAGTCATGGATCAGCTGCCTCTTGTACAACCCCTACTGGGGATATGTCCGCAACCAAGGTATTATACATGCCCTTGACCGGAATCGAACCCCGGTCTTTTCAGTCCCCAAGCCGACGCTCTATCCATTGAGCCAAACAGGTTTTGGTGATAGGAGAAATTTTTGGTATTTCTTGTGGGGAGCAGGAGATAAGCAGAAACTTGTTGGACTAAGAGGTGGGCTTTATCCCCCCTTCCCCCCATTTAATTAGATACACAATGCTACTTGTTACCTACTTTCAAAAATCCCATTAGAGAACTTGTAATTTGATCCAGAGGGGGAGCAGCAGGAGAGTCAGGTAAGAGGAAAAATTGACCTCATTCTCCAGTCTTTCCTAAATCCTGAGAAATGTGCACCTCCACGCTGCCTGTTTCAATCCCACAAAACACGGGAATCAGGAAAACGCATTAGCACCCTAGTACAGACTAGGAACACAGAGCAGGGAGGCGACTCGGCTCCGTCAAGACAGAAGGAAACTGGGGGAGGGGAGAAAAAACAAAACCAGAAAAACTTCCTTAGGTGGAAATCTGCAGCCCCGGTCGTGGGAAGAGAAGGGAAGTGGGGAAGTGTGTACATCGGGCGCCAGCCAGACACTTTGCGGCTGGGCATAGGTGGGAAACAGAGGAGAGGAGGGAGAAAGGCTGCCCAGAGCGAGATGCCAAGAGCTTCTGCCGGTGCTTTTGAGGGAAGATAACGGAGAGCGAGAGCTTTCTGCTCCGCTTCTGCCCGCCTGGAGGCCGCTTCTCCAGATGTAACTGCGGTCCAGAGGGAGCGCCGCTGGGCAGGGGCAGGCTGAGCCCCGCTCCCCGCTCCCCGCTCCGCCGGGCCCACCGCAGACCCCGCTCCGGCGCGCTCCCGGGCGGGGGAGCGGCCCTCGGGACGCTGAAGTTACTCCGCGGAGGAGGAGGGGTCGTCCAGCTCCCCTCCAATCACTGCAGCCGCTCCAAAATTTGCATATATATTATGCAAATGACCTCCGGTCCTGCTCCCCCGCCCCCTGGGGGCTCCGGGGAGCGCGCGGGCCGGACGGAGGTGAATGCGTTAGGATAAGGCGGCGGCCTCGCCCGGTGGAGGCGGCCGGGCGGCGGCGGGAGGCTGAGCGGGGAGGAGGCGGGCGCGGGGGCGGGCGCGGGCGCGGGGGCGGGCCGTCGGCGCCGGGCGCGCGCGCACTCACACTCACACACACACACACACACTCACGAGCATCCCGAAGGGTATTTAAAGGCTTGCACGCGAGGGGCTGTGGAGATCCTGGGGGCAGCCGCGACTGGGGCCTCGCCACTCGCTTTTGCTCCTGGGTTTATTCCGTTCCCTTTCCTCTCTCCCCTCTGCCCCGCGGTACCCGTGGAGCGCTGCGCTCCCGCCGCCGCCGCTCTCAGCCCCCCCTATTTTTTTTGCCTGGCACCGCGTCCAGGTGGGACCCGTTAGCGGAGAAACGCCGACTGGGTAGCCATAAGGCGGACCCACCGAGACGCAACAGGTCTGCGCGGCGGGGCGAGGGGAGCGGCGGCCCCCGCGGCCGTCTCCCACGGTCCCCGGCCCCCGGTGCGCCGCGCGCAGGGACCTCCGAGGGGTCCGTCCTCAGAGGCGCGGGGTGGTCAGCAGGACTCTACGAGGTGGGCTTCTTTCTGGTCTTTGCCTTGTGGCCACCGGTCCGTAGACGGAGGGTGCCCTTCACCCCCAGTTAGGAGAGGAGGAGAAGAAGGCGGAGGGACGGTCCAGGACCGAGGAGCGCGGGGAGGGGTCCATCTCCGCGCGCCCCTCTCCCACTCCGCCAACTAGTTCTGTGCAGCCCGCCGGACGGAACTTTGGAGGAATCGTCCTTTTTTCTTCTTTTTTTTCCCCCCTTTCCTTTTACGGTTATTGGAAGTGGTCGAGGGTGGGAGGCAGCGGACCCCGCCACGATGCTGCCGAAGAAGCCTGCAGGAAAAGGAGGGCCCGGGGAGCCGGGCTCCGAGGACCCGAGCCTCGCCCGGCGGCAGCGGTGTGCCCGGACCGTGCCCCCGAGCGCGGCCCTGGCAGCCCTCCTGTCAGCGGTGGCCGTGGCGTCCTGTCTGTACCTGGGGGTGAAAACCAACGACCTCCAGGCGAGGATCGCCGCTCTCGAATCCGCCAAAGGGGACCCTTCCATCCGCCCGCTTCCCGATTGCCTGGATCAGCTCAAAGCAGTGGTGCAGGAGAAAGTGGAGCGACTTCTGGCTCAGGTGTGAAAAGCTGGGGTATTTTTGCACGTGCAACACATCTTGCACAGGCGTGATTCCGTGTATACGCCCTGCCTACCCTGACTGCCCGCATACGTGGTGTGGCTGTGTGCACATATGCTAGGCGTCCATCCGTGGTGGCATATGTTTGTACTGTATCATATGCACATCCTTCGACACCACCCTCTCCATGTGTCTCATCTTCCCTCACTCTTCTGAATATTTGCATGTTAAATCTATATGGGGCTCTAAAAGCGGGAAGGGTGAGCAGAATGGCAGGGTGGCATTTTAGCTTCTTGTAGTTTTCCAAAGTCTCCTAGGAATCTTTTCCAAATTTGTGGAGACTATTCCTTGCAGAATAACATCTGCTATGTTCTTCAGGAGGGTTAGGACCATAGGTGCTATTCATATACAAATGGTAATCACTATTGAAAGTAAAATAACCCTAAATGTGATTTAGAACCAGTTATTTCCTACATTGAATGGTCTCATATTAAATGTTTAAAAAGAAAACAATAGTAGCTTAATCTTTTTTTGGGGTAAAAGATGCAGTGCCAAGGGGTGTTTATGAATGCAGAGCCATTGGACTTGAGACTTTAAAGTAATCTACAATATGCACCCAAATCAGGGCAGCATTAGACTGGAGTTAGGAGGTTTTCTGGAACTTGTTCTTCCAACAGCGAGGCTGTTTGGCAGTAGTTGCAGCGCTACATGCTAAGCAGTTGACCTTCATGCATAAAGTATTGGCTGTTTTAAAACACGTAACTTACCTAGAACTGCAACATGTTAATGCCAGATTTTTGCATTGGCTGCATATGTATGAGCTGAGGGAGTGGGTGGTGGTAGTTGAACAATGGAGAAAGATGTTATACAAGTCCAGCAGTCTTTTAAAAAATTATTTATTATTTTTTTCAGCAGTCTTGATGTCATGTCAATAATCATTTTCTTTCTTATAGGGCTTGGGTATTACTGTTCCCTTTTGACTGAAGTCCAAGTACATATGTAAACTTTAGTTATACAGGCTATCAGATGCTGGTGAATCAAGCATATGGACAGAGACTCCCTAAAGAACCCATTTCTCTACAGTGCTACTGATGACTCTCCATCCCTCTTCTTTCCACCCCCTGCAGAAATCCTATGAACACATGGCCAAAATAAGAATCGCAAGAGAAGCACCTTCAGAATGCAACTGCCCAGCAGGTAAAATGGAACTTATTTAACAAGGTTGGCTTCATGGCAGAGCATTTTAAAACAAGAGTCCTGTGTCTGTCAAGTCTACCTGTAATAATAGTAAAGAAAGAATGCAGACCCAACTCACGTTAATAAGATCAACATGTCTCAGTCAAAAGAATGGCAAACAAAGCCCCAAATATTATTTTAAGCAGCATACCAAGGTCTGTTATGGGAGAACAAAAGAGAGAGAGATAATCACCATGGAAAATATGGCAGATGATGTTCAAATGTGAAATTCTTAGATCCACAGATTGAAAAATATTGTTCAATTTTATTCACTTTTAATACCTACTGTGAAAATGACTGCAGAACATGTTAGATTCTGAATTCCCTGGTGGAGAATGTTGGATTAGCACAGGTTTCCATTTGCTCCTTTTAACACGAGTATGTTAGTAAATGACCATAACTTCCTCTCCTGCTTTTATTTTATTTTTTTCTATCAAAAAGGGTTCTGCATTCTTTAGCAAAAGGAAATTTGTTCTTTATCTCGAGCTTCCCATTGCAAACTATTGCATTCTCAATGAACTATCAGAAAAGGCTCATATATTTTTTACCATTTTTTTTCTCTGCAGCTTTAGAGGATTATATTAATGACAGCATATTAGTAGAAAGATAGAAAAAAATACTGATGAATGAAACCTCTAGGTAATCATTAAATCTTTCTCAGTAGACCTCTGAGGCTAGGGAGTCAGTTATCTGTAGACCTATCAATTTAGAAGCCCTTGGAATATGTCTATTGGAAAACACCTAGTGGATTCAACTGATGAAAGTCATGGAAAACTGCCATCAGTCGAGATATTTATTTCAGAAAAATGTTAATGCATTTGTGGACATTTACTTTCTTTTACCACCACTTATGGAAAAGTGAGTCTCTTACATTTTCTGTAATGTCCAGGTATATGATGCTTAGATACTTATATATGGAAAGCTTATTTTCTATATTTTTTCATATTCTGAGTTTACTTTCCCTCATGATAACTTGTTTTTCCTCACCATAACACAGCTAATTCAGGAACCATATTTAGAAATTTTAAATGTCAACTCCCAGTTGTATAGCACACAAGTTTTATTATTTATGTTCTGCTACTTTGTTGATCATAATGGAGCTGTAGTTTTGGTAAATGAAGCCCTTTCAATTGAGAAGACATATACATTAGGTAACAGGGAAACGTTAATGCTTGTTTTGACATTGTAAGTTTCATTCTTGCTTGTTTTAAATTGGAAAAGACCTCAGAAGTCAGAAATTCAAAGAAAGCACTTTAGTGGAGCAGGAATTAACTCACAAAACCTCATCAGCTTGGAGGGATTATTTAAATTCTCAAAACAGTTGGTATAGGACTTCACTGGTCATACACTTAGAGCCCAACATTTTTTTTTTTTTTCTATTCAGTATTCTTGTTAGCTGAGTGACAAACAGCCAGTGTTTAATTAATAGGATTCTTAGTGAACTGGGTGAAAAGTAGAGCAGTGACAACTACAGCACTGAGTTCCATTGTGAATTTAACTGCTTTATGATGTTTGGTATAAACTAGCTGTTGAGGTCTAGTATGTAATCTAGAAGAAATACATTATATTTCGAGTTTACCTTGCGTTATCTCGAATTATCATTTTGAACCATTTTTATTCTTAACATATTGATTGACTAACAAATAGTGATTGTGCCATAATAACAAATAAATAATAAATGGTGATTTACTTGGCTGTTTTGTTGGCCCTCAGTATTGGCTGCTCTACTTTCTTGCTACCACTAGAGCTCCACATTACATCAGTTTTGAAGGTGGACATTTCAATACACAGAATCAAAACAGATTTCTTGCCAACAAATCATTTTATAGAAACTCTTTAAGTTTGTGGAATAATTAGATATTATCAAAATAGAGACATTATGTTGAAAATAGTATTCTGGGGGTAAAACTTGTGATTTTAAGGTACGGTCAGTGATTATTGTTTTAGGGAATGAATGGGCTGGCCAAGAGGAAAAGAAAGGAGATATGGCACTTCCCACCTGGTTTGGCTCTAACCCTGGTTTGCAGTGACTAAGAGTTGTCACCCAGACATCTGTTTGTAGGGCAGAGTGAGACTTGTCTGTGACCTCAGCTCGCTCAGTTCCTGTGGACAGATGCCCACCCCTTGAAGTTGACACTCTTGTTGACAGTCTCCGTCATAGAGCCAAGGACTGATAGCAAAGGCTTAATGCTGTGTTGTTTGTGTCCACTTTAATTGCTTTTGATAGGACTCAGTTCCAGTGAGGTTTGTCCATGTAGGCTACAAGGAAATCATAGAATTTATAGATGTTTTTACAATAGATATTTTTAAGCACAGGAAGGAGCATGTATGGGAGAGGGATGAGATAAAATATTATCGAGTAATTTCTAATAATAGGGGAATCACTCTCATTTAATCTTCACAACAACCTTGAGAGTTAAATATTGGTGATTTCATTTTACAGATTAGGAAACTGGACTCAGAAGGTGACTAACTTAGCATAGTAAAGGGAATGTCAGGATTCATGACCACATCTGATAGAATCAAAAGCTCAAAGTCGAGTGAGGGATAGAGAATGAGTATAGGCTTTAGAGCCAAATAGTTCTGGATTAAAATCATAGGTCTGGTCTGCTATTAAATAATGTGTGACTTTGGTCAAACTAATGAACTTTATATTCCAGTGTCCTCATCTGTAAAAAAGTACCTAATAATAATACCTTCTTCCTTGTAGAATAATAATTTAAACAGTCTGGCATATTGGAGTTTGGCTGTTCATACATAATAGCAATCACTATTCTTTTTACTGTATTACATGCTATTTAACTTTCATCTGGTCCATAGGGACACATGATAGAGGTGGGAAAATCAAGGTCCGCAGATATGTAACTTGCTAAAAGGTTTTGGACTAGAACATTATGCTTAATTAAACAAATACACCTATAGATTATTTATGCAGGTAATCAGTCAAACAATTTAGTGTTTTAGTGCTACACCAAGGTATTTATATTAGTCTACTAAACTATTCCCCCCCCCCCCCCCGCCCAAAATTACAGGAAAAACTTTTGACCTTGTAGGCAAACCAGTATTGAAGTAGATAAAACCTGGCCTTAAAAAGTATGGGAATATTTTTAAAAATGTCTTTTACAGATTTGATACTGGATGTTTACAAAAACATGTTTAACTTTCTTACTCATTTCCACACTTTAATACTTTAAAAATATTAAAATATTTTCCAGTTACGGTATTATTAAAGTATAATTTATAATAATTACCCATTTTAAATGAATAATTTAAATATTTAAAAATAATTTTATGGAGTTATGTAATCATCACCACAATCCAATTTTAGATCACCTTTGTCACTTCTGAAAATCCAATTTATTTTTCTTTTACGGTATATATTTAATTTTTATTGTTGAGATTGTTACAGATGTTCCTTCCCCCCACCCCCCCATAGCTCTCCTCCACTTGGTTCCCACCCTACCCCAGGCCCTCGCCACCCTATTATTTGTGTCCATAGGCAATGCATACATGCATATAAGACCCCATTTACTTTTTTACATGTACTCAGAAGCTCTATTTTTAAAATATTTGCATTAAAGAAACCCCAGAATAAAATTTAAGAAACCATCTACATTGGAGCTCTGTTTAGCAGAATATTTGATCCAGCAGTGGCTGAACCATGGAAATTTAGCTGGTACCTGTGGCTTGGCCTTTGTAAAACTTGACCCTCATATTTGAGAATAAATTGGTTTTTTGCTCTGGCTGTAGAATTCCATTTTGGGTTTCTGTTCTTGCAGTCCTACATGAGGTATGTAGAAACCAGGCATATGTATGGGAGGGTTTCTGTGATAAGGAACACAGGCAGCCAACCAAATGGTGTTTAGATCACCAAGGTTTCTGTGTCTTACTCACCAGTAGTGTTGCCTGCGCAGGGTATTAGGGAGAAGAGCCTCTGTGGTGTAATGCACTGAGAAGGTGATGGGCAATCAAGAATACAGAATTCTAATCCTGGCTTTGTCGTTAACATGTTATTCAATCTGGAGCAAGTATTTTTGAGAATGGCTTTTACAGACTCAGTTTTTATATCCTCTCAATCAGAGTGTTGGACTGAAATGGTTTTGAAAGGCATTTGTCAATTCTCCAAGCATAAAGAGCCTCCTGTGTGCCAAACATCATGCCAAAGACTTGGAATATGCTGCGGAATGGGCAGACTTGGAATCTGCCCTCAGGGAGCTTACATTTCAATGAGGATGACAGACATTTATTTAAAATGGACATGAATTTGCAGGTGCAACAGGTGCAACCAAGAAAAAGAACAATGTGCTTTGGAGCATGTGACCAAAATTCCTCCCATGTTGTAAATACTAAGGATTTAAAAAAAAAAAATTTTTTTTCTCTTGGGAAAAACCGAGAAATTCACACAGTAGGAGAAAATCATAACATGAGAAATCTGACTTCTGATTAGAGATAAAGCTGCAGCAATGAATAAAAAGATGATTGGCATACCCTTTCCTGACTTTTGGCTTTCCTAGAATTTATGGTCAGATGAAGGTGCACAGACACTTGGTTTATCTACACTGATACCCAACTGAAACAAAAAAAGTGACTTTAGCCTATAAAGGGTAGTGGAGGATAAAGTGATGATTTATTCTTCTACATTTCTTCTGAAACCAGTGAGATTTGGGTTGAATAAGAGTCAAAACTTTCTGCTCAGTGGGTACTGCACAGGACCTGGCCCTTCGACATTCATTAAAAATGATGAAACATAACACAGCTGGCCATCTGCTCGGAGAGTTGAGCTAGAGATAGAAAAGATATACCACATAGCTTCTGAGGTTCCTATCCACCCTCCACGCCTATGAAAATGATTATATACAAAATAAAAATAGATGTAGGCAATTAAAGTCCCTCTGATTTATTAATGCGAGGGATACATTGGGTGGCTGGTTTTGTGGCATCTTCTCAACTTGGGAGGAAAT